CCCTGGATTACATGTCATTTTCAACTGCTTTATATGGCGAATCAGATCTGTGAATCAATATCGAAACATTAATTTAAATAATAATATTTTAAACAAATAAAAAAAAAAAAAAAAAAAAAGTACATAATATAATTTTTAACAATTGATATAAATTGAATGAAAAAGAAAGTTGAATCTCAAATTATTTTATCAGTTCATTTACTAGTTACATACTATTTTCATCATATCAGAAATTACAAATAAATGAAAATATATTTCATTACTTATCCATCCATTCTCTCAAGAGCAAAAACAAAAAAAAAAAAATAATATGAGATGAAAAATATTATTCCCCTGCGTATTATTTTCAGAAGTATTGTAATTTTTTGATTTAGAAAATATTTATTATAGAACATTTTATTTTTTGCCTTATTAATGAAAATTAAATCAGTTTTTTATGTATTATTTATTTATTTATTACCCTTAGAACAATTTAACATTTTGACTTATCTTAAAATCTTACTTATATCTTCAGGACCAACTATCACTGATATAATATATTATATTGAAATTAAAGATTTCTGCAACTCATTGTTACAATAACGGACGGTTCTTCAAGACTTCTTTACATAGAGGTGAACCAAGATTTGAATACATCAGAATTAATTTGGTTGTGGTAATCTGTAGAATTTCCAGTATTACTACGGAGAACCAATTTTTAATTCTTGATGAACCCGTATTTGGCACACCCTGCATGTACGATAATAAGACGTTCACTTTTTCCAGTTGGAATTTTCGGACTCATAGTACTTGTTTTATGTTGACATGCAACGCTCCGCGAATGATTTTGATTGACCCATGTTTCATCTAGGTAAACAATCGGTCGAGAATCTTTATTTCCGTGCATTATACACATTTTTCTTAAAAATTTGCATCTAAGCGATACTATGTCGTTACGCTCTATTAAAAATTTACGGCCATCACTGCATTTTTTATATGAAAATTTCAAATTTTTAAGAAGTCTTTGAATTGATGTGAGACTTCCTGAGTAATTAATTTTCTCCCTTATGGAATTAAATATTAATTGTGATGTAGGATAATCACGCCTGTCGTAAAATTCATGAACTGTCCTTCTTACAACATCACAGTTAAAATTGTCCAATTCCGAAACATATTTTGCCCGCTTGTATGATTTACGTGGAGATACAAAAGATGGGCCTGCTTCAAGTAAATTATCAATTTTTTTCACTTCAGAACAAATACGTTGAATGGAGCGTTTCGATAATCTGCAAGCCCCATCAGTAACATCTCGAGTTTTTTTTAAAAAAAATCGGAGTTAAGTTAATTTGTTTTCGATAGTTTATTAAAAAATAAATAAACACTATAAATAATTTTTTTACTTTGGCTATGGATATAGTTATCTTTAAATGACATTTTTACTAAAAAAATATTGTATAAGTTAGCAAAAAAAATTAGGTTTTCACATAACGAATATATTTATAACGTATTTCAATTTTCAACGGACAACCGACGTGTACACAACATTGAAAACACTACACTGACAGAAAAACATTATGCCATAAGCCACTGTGAATACAAATATACCCAAAATACCCTGTGTAACCATTTGTCCCTCTATAAACATGTTTTATGGAATTTGAAACCTAGAATGTAATGACGAATATTATATTTAAAAAATATCGTTAATAATACACGCCGCGCCGCCGTCGTTCCAGACCGTAGCAGGTAGTCATATAAAATGAGAACCAATGTCTACACAGTGGGTAAGGTTCGGGGTACGGAGGCGGCTAGCCGCCAGTTTTCGTGAATAGTACTATAACTAGGGTTGCCAGATTTTAAAATCACCGAACCGGGACATCATATTGATAACCTTATTTTTTTTAGTTTAGTTTAGTTTAGTTAATAAATGGAAATAATAAATAGCCGCTATTTTATTTAAAAATGAATAAACCAATATATTTTTTTTTATATTTTACACTTTACATAAGCTAATATTGATACTTTTCCGCTGAATGAACTTTTTTCAATAAAGTTGTATTATTCTTAATTTTTTCATAAAATTCATTGCAAGTTAAACCAAAATTCATTTTACATATCATTAGACCTCGTACAGTATTTTCATTCATCCTTGCCCTTTCGTCTGACCAAGCGTTATTCATAAGCGAAAAAATTCTTTCTACTGGAGCAGAAGTTCCTGGCATACAAAAGATATACTGCAAAATTAATTTTATATTTGGTGCTAATATATCCTTTTCTTTGAAATGGCAGAAGAGCTGCACCCATTTTTCTTCACTTGTAATTTTAATTTTAGTTTTTATTTCTTCCTCTTTCCAATCTTTAATTTTCAATAACCAAAACTCTTTAGCTAGTACGACTTCATCGAAAAGCTGATCTTGGTTTATAATTTCACTTTTTAGTCTCAAGTTTATAATTTCTGAAGCTTTTAAAAAATAATCCCATTTAATTTCATTTTCATCCACCCAAAAAAATGTAGAAGCATCACCAAAACTATTTTCCCACAGTCTGATATATGCTATACATCGTTCATAAAATAATTTAAAGTCTTCTTCAATTTTTAAAATATTAGTTTCCTCGTCAGTTAGTGTTCAAAACCTTTTTCGCGCCTAATGGGACAAATTTAGCATCCTTCCTTTCTATGATATTATTCTACAATTTTCTTAGAATATTTACTACATCCGTTGCACTTGCATTGTTTTTTTCCATTGCTTGAATAGAGTTATTGAAAAGAGAAAGTTGACCATGAATAAACCATAGATAAATTTCTCCTCGCTTGTCAGTAAAAAATTTTTTATGAGATTTGGACATAAATCTTGGCTACAGAAGTAAGCTTTCAAACCTTCAAAAATTAGCAATATTCTTTCAATTGCTGGTAGTAAGGAAAGAAATCGTGTGCTACCATGCTGTAATACCTTTTTGTATTCTACTTCTGCGAATTCGCAAAACTCTTGAAGCTTAGTTACTCGTACTGTGTAAATATGAAAATATTTGTATATTTTCACAATTAAAGCTTCAATTTTGATAGGTAAGACATCAACTGCTGTTTGCATACAATTATGAACTATGTGTGCACCACAACCAATTCCATTGATTTCTCTGCCTAATTCATTCTTCATTCTAGCAAAAACATTATTGTTTCCTCCTCTCTTTACTCCACCAAAATTTGTGTTACAGTTGTCTCCACAAAATCCGATAACTTTTTTATCCAAGTTGTGTTCCTTTAAAACTGTCATAATATGGTTTGTAAGTATTTCAGCTGTTTCTCCCGGGACTGACTTAAATTCTAAAAGCTTAACTTTTATTCCAAATTCTGGTTGAAAGTAGCGTATAATTACAGGTACAATTTTTATATCTTTTTTGTTAGAAGCATCCATACTTACGGTAATAAAGTTGCATTTATTTAAATCATTACGGAGTTCGTCAAGTGCTAGAGGAGCTAGGATGTTTAAAACAATAGCCTCACACTTTGTTTTACCCAGGGTAAACTTAGGCTCAAAAAATGTGGAAATCAATTTAGAGTTACAAATATTAGAATTGAAGCTAAGATTATGATTTACAGTGTGGTAAGCGTATGTTGCTTCTTTGGCCGCCAAATACAATTCTTTGTTATGTGGTTCAGAACTTTTGAAATATGAAGTTAATTTCGAAGAACCAGCCGATACCAACTAACTATTTGTATGTCTACTTGATTTTAAGTGATCTTTTATATCAGCACGCCCTCCGTGAGATACTGAAAATTCTGAACCACAAGAACATTTTACTCGGTCAACTTGATTAAATACTTTTTTTAAAAACGGATATTCATTTTATAATTCATTATTAAAAGTACACGATCTTTTAGGCATCTTTGTAAATAAATTTCAACGAAAAAATATAACCGCACAGACACTTACGTAAGTCGTACACGCGCAATCACGAACAAGACTGACAAAGATAATAATGAAATTGGATTTATATTTTATATAACTACCTAATGGCTCAATTAGTAAGGGCTAATCGTATAGAATGAAAAATAAACCTGTAACCATGTAGATAAAATTTAGATAATATAATACGATCATAAATTATAAATTATAAATATACAACTAAAATAGTTATCTACAAATCGCCGGTTTCTAATGATTGTGTACAATAAAAATATTCTGGGAATTTTCTGATTCTACATAAACATAACACGTTATTCTCGCCGACCCATCATTCATTATTAAATAATGTAATATTCAATATTATATTTTCTCTCGACTTCCATTAACCGGGACAAAATGAATGACCACCCGGGACACCAGGACATGCTGTTAAAACTGGGACTGTCCCGGTCAAACCGGGACGAATGGCAAGCCTAACTATAACACAGTGCTGCCAAATGGTACGATCATGGTGGGGAAGTACGATAATTTAGTGGCAAGTACGATCCCCCATCAAACCCTTTGATGGGTCATGAAGAATACGATATTTTAATAGTAATAATTTATTTATTTTAAACATGGAAAAATTCAAAAATTAAATATTTAAAACAATTTTATCTTTTTTCGGCATAAGGTCGTTGCTCGTTGGCAATCGTCGGCTCGACTTCATAGTCCATATTTTATTGTACACGTTACCAGCTATGAAACCAATTATGATGGCTATAAATAAATATATAAATTATGGCTGTATTATTGTTCTGAGCCTTGAGGTATTATGTTCCTAGAACATTGTTGTGGCCGTTGTGGGTTTCTAAACTATTTATAAAATTGATTACCGATTAACTACTACGAAAAAAAAAAAAATATAATGTTTATTGTTATAGTTTAATATAGTGTATTAGTGTGTTATACGTAAATACGTTATAACATACGCGCGATTGTGAATTGTCGACGGTTCATATTATAATATTTAGTCTTCGGAGCACGTTGATTATATTATTTTGTTGTTTATGACCACTGGTTCGTTGTTTTTTATAATTATTTTTTGTTTTATTCTAATTTTATCGAATTGTCGTGATGAGTGGAAAGGAAAGTGACAGGTGTTCGACGCCAGAAAAAACTAAGCGGAAACGAGGAGAAAGTTCCAAAACCTATTCTCACAAAAAACAAAACTTTAGACAAGAATGGTTAACAAATAAAGATTTTAGCAATTGGTTGTTGCCAGTTAATAATAATAAGTTATTAGCTAAGTGTAAGTTATGTATTACAGAAATGACTGCTGAATTGAGTGTACTTAAAAAACATGCTCAAACAAAAAAACACAAAAGTTCGATGAGTTCCATTGGTAGTAAACAAAATTCGATAAGTACATTTTTAAATAATACAGATCAATTTAAGTTAGCAGATCAAACTAAAAAAGCTGAAGTATTACTTTGTAGTTTTATAAGTGAACATAATTTACCATTCAATATTAGCGATCATTTGGTAAAAACATGTAAAGCAGCATTCCCGGACTCAAAAATTTGTTCAAATGTATCATTGGCTCGTACAAAATCAACAGCTCTTGTATCTAATGTTATTGGACATTATTCTCTTGAAGAACTTGTTAATGTTTTGCAAAACACAGTGTTTAGTGTGATAATTGATGAAAGCACTGATGTTGGCTGTGTGAAAACAATGTGCATATGTGTAAAGTATTTCGACAGTACATCCAATATTTTCGAAACAAGATTTTTCAAGCTCGTCCAGTTGTTTGAGGATGTACAAAGTGCAGACAAAGGAGCTACTGGTCAAAAAATATTTGATGAAGTTCTTAAAGCTTTCACACATTCTAAAATTTCGTTGGATAATTTAATCGGTAACTGAGTTGAAATTTTATTTAGAAACAACTTATTATTTATTAATTTTATTGTAATCACCTATTTACTTTATTTTTTGTAGGATTTGCTTCAGATGGTTGCAACACTATGTTTGGTGCATCAAATTCTGTAACATCTAGACTAAATGAATTTTTGCCAGGTAATACATTAATTTATACTGCAATATGATGTAGATTTTAATATTCAAAAAATGTTCTGATTGTGCAGGGATTTATATTCAGAAATGTATTTGCCACTCGCTCCATTTATGCGCCAGTGCTGCATGCAAAGCTTTACCACGCACTTGTGAAGACCTTGCCAGGGACATTTATAATTATTTCAAATCAAGCTGTAAAAGAGTAAGTCAATTTAAGCAATTTCAAGACTTTTGCAATATATCACCTCACAAAATGTTAAGACCAGCACAGACCCGATGACTTTCATTGAGTATGGTAGTAAATAGAATAGTTGAGCAATGGCCTGCACTAAAATAATTTTTTTCATCCCATTGGCTTGAAGATAAACTCAAAGCTTCAGAAAACATTTTTCATGCTTTACATGATCCTTCTGTATTAATTTATTTTAAATTCCTACAATGGATCCTTCCAAAATTTGTAAACCTCAATAAACTGTTTCAGAGTGACAAACTAGTTATATGGTTGGTTTTTAGTAAAATGTCCGTAACTTATACTGATATTCTTTATTCGTATATGAGACTGTGTAACAATCCTTTATCAGTCGATCCAAACAATTCCTCATACTTTCTACCATTAAACCAAATGTATTTAGGAATTGACGTTATGAATATGTTACAAACACCAGAAGTTGCAAAGAACCATGTTATGGTGCAAGATGTCTTAGAGCACTGCAGGAGATTTCTAATTATTAGTGTTAAGGAAATAAGAGTCCGATTCAATTTCAATGACCCAGTATTAATGCAATTGGAAAATATTACACCTTCAAAAGTCCTAAGCGATAAACGACCTGCTTCTCTAATTAGTTTTATTCAGTTATTCCCTAGAATTAAACAAAATCACCAAAATATTGATACCAGCTGGAAAATGTTCAGTGTTATAGAGTTTGGTCCCGAATTACATGCATTTCTTTTAAGTTTAAATGTTGAAGACTTTTGGATTAAACTTAAGGTATTTGAAAAAGATGGTGAATATCCATTTAAAGATGTTTCAATTTTTTTATTAACTGTTCTGTCTTTGCCTCAATCGAATGTGTCGTGTGAACGCATGTTTTCTAAAATTAATTTAATTAAAACCAAACAAAGAAACTGCTTAAACACCAAAACTTTAAATAGCATTTTGAGTGCCAAAGAATACACCAAAAAAACTGAATGCCATAAAATAGAAATAACAAAAACTATGCTAGGCATGATAAATTCTACTATGTACAATCACTTAAACAATGATACTGAAAATAGTATTGAATTTGTTGATGACTGAGAAATATATATTTAATAAACATGTTTTACCTACTCAGCTAAATGAAGTAAGTCCATGTATATTTTATTTAAAATTGTTATATTCAATTTGTTGAAGAAGGTTATTTATTTTTTATTTTTGTTATATATTGTATTAATTTTATGTTTTAAATATTTATAAATATACCTAATATAATATCTATAACAATATTATTATTATTATTTTATAATATATGGTAATATATTACCATATATCATAATACCTATATCTAAGCTCAGTGATTGATTATTAAGACAAGTTCTATACTGACATTGTTCTATTTTGATTTATAAAATTAATCCGTGTATATTTACTTGTTAATTTAAACCACGAACAAAAATTATTTTACTAAAATATTGTAATATTGAAGTAGCCAGTTATACAATATCAACTGATTACAAAAAATAAAATACCCATAGATCTCCCGGAGTTATGATAAGGAATGTGATAATCAAAAAAAAAAAATTAAAAAGTACCTACTTGTCTTATTATCTATCTCAGTGTAATTGTCACATCTACGATCTCGTAATGCATCACTAGTTTTTAAAAGTGTATAGATTATTCTTATTATCGTATTTGTTATTACACAAACTGTGCAGTTTACACATATTTTCATATATGCTAATTCTGCATTAGGAATAGGCGTTATGTAACGTTTATATTAAGTTTTTTTTTTTGGTACGATCTTTTGGGTAAAAGTACGATTTTTTAGAATTTTCCCCCCATTTTTCGGATTATCAAGTTTGGCAGCACTGCTATAACACCATTAGTTAGAACCAGGGACCGAGACCAGACCGAAAAGAAACGGTTACGGAACCTAAAACCTTGTGTAAATTAAAGAACCGAAAATAACCGTTATCTGTATTATATATTTTTAATAGACCCTAATCATTACCGAAACCTATAAACAATACCAAAAGAATATCGGTTTTTTTAAGGGTTTTTTACTGTTTTCAATATCCTATTGAAATCGAAAGAAATTACTCTTTAAACTAAAAATATATTATTTAGAAACAATAATTACATATAATAATTTATTTTATACAGTATTTACGCAATTTTATATTCGGCCGTCGACTAATGAATATAATATTATTGTCTAAGGAATATTAATATATATTATGTATATGTTACACGATAATGTCGATAACGGATCATTTCTGCCGACACATAAGTTATTTTTACAATTACAAAAATGACACTGGGTTTTTAAAATATTTATTTTTATTACATATCTACATGTCAAACACAATACAAAGCGCATATCGTATTATCGTTATTAGTTATTATCGAATATCGGTGCTTAGTGGTGAATTTGCTATATTTGTTATTTAGTCGCCGCAGATGAACACGCACGCAGTCTACCTTTATTCTTACCAAATTAAAATTATGGGCCGTCATACTGTCCCAGACAGCAGAATCGTAATGTTTATATTATTGTAATATTCAACAAAGGTTAAGTAGATAATATTTTAGTCTAAATATGACTATAATGTTTTTGAAAAGTTATAAAAATTAAATTTTATAAATAGCATTTTTTTAAAGTTTCACTTTCATTTGTTTTTAAATGTTACATATTTAATGGCGTGGTATTATTATATAGTTATTAAATTAATAACTTTAAATAATATTTTTTCCAGAATGTTTTGAATACTTTTTGTATTGGTTAATTTTTCAATATTTTTTACTTAATTTTTTAAAAATGTTTTAAAAATGTTCAATATAAGACATTAAAAAACTTTATTTATTAGATATTTTTATAATATCATTATGACCTTAAATTTTTAAATTAAATTAAAAACAATCTAGAAAGTTTTGGAAACATTATATCTTTAACCTTTTATTGGTCGCGGTTATATTGACTATAATTTATTTTTTATTTTTGGTATCTTACCGGAACTATTATGTGAATTGTGGAGATTAAACTCCCCCTCATAAGCCACCGCCTAATTGCGCCTGTGAATCTGCGTACATCAGTGGCATAGACATGATTTCTGAAAGGGGGGGATCAAAAAAAGAAAACAACATAACTAAATGGGATGGAAAAATTGAAAAAATTTCAAATTTTTTTTTACTATTTTATAATTTTTTTAAAAAAATTTAGATAGTAAAATATTTAACAATAGGAACAATAACCATATTTGAATAAATTCAAAATTTACTTCCAACACAATGTTATGGAAAATTATCTACTCCAATACTCCATCAAGTCAAAACTTCTTTATTATAAAATGCTATATAAAACAGTACAATATAAAATATATTAACACAATAAATAATGATCAAATCAACAAATCTAGCTTTTTTTTTTTTTTTTTAGCTAATTCGTTTAAAACTTCTTCTGCTGAAATAGAAATATTTTTATAAACTGCCATAAGCGTTAGGCCATTTAGCCGTTCCTGCAACAAATTAATTTGTTAATAAAGTGTATTTCATTTATTACAAAATATATTTTACTTCTTTCATTGTATTTCTTGTGTAAGTCTTTAATCTTTTTAAACAAGAGAACATCCTTTCCGGAGTAGCGGTTGAAACTGGTAAAGTACACAATATGCTCAATAAATTAAAGATATTAGGATGTATTATGTTATTACATTCTTTAATTGCATCTAATCCTGATTTAGGTTTGTTTTCAACTCTTTGTAGTTTGATTTTCCACATTTGCAACTCAACTCTCACAGTATTTAAATCAGATTCTGGAAGATAAAATTTGACAAGATCATCAAATTCATCTGGCACATTACCAGATTCATAATCAAATAAACATTGAAAACCTATAACATTAAATTCAAAATATTATACAAGTTTAATATACCACTCACACAATATTTGTATTAGATAGGTATTTGTTGATATTTAACTAACCATAAAAAACATTTCTATGATCTAAAAACCTGTCATTCAATTGGTTTATAAAACTATCAATGAATGGAATGCATATAGTGATTCGATAATAGGCCTCAGGATCTAAAGGGCCATTTTCATTTATTAATGAATTATTTCTGTGTTTTTGCCTCTTATTCAATCGATCAACAGTAATGGTTATATCCAAAATATCTGCCATACTCTAATAAAATGTAAAACCAAAAAAATGTATTGACTTATTGAAAGAAAAATAAAAAGGATTAAAATTAAATTATATAAGATAGTTACTTTGGCATTTTCAAACATCTTATGAAATGCAATATCTATATTTTCTCTTAGATGTTTTAGAGCTTTCACATTATCATCAGCTAACTCAATCGCTTCTCTTAAATCTATTTCTATTTTTTGAAGTTGCTTACATAGTGGTAAACTATAAGAAAATAGAAACTTTAACAAAAATAATTGATAAATATAAACGACTAATTTTGTGAATGGTACAAAATAATATTTATTATAAAATTCATAAAATTATTTGCTAAATGCTAGATAAAATACAAATAAAATTAAAAATAAAGAATTACTTTTATGATTTGTAGAGATATTAAAAATTTGGAATCCATTGCCTTCAATAAAATATTAGCATGTACTGAAGATAAATCATTCCACTCTAATGTTTTTTCAAGTGAAACTATTACAAACAAAAATAATTCAACAAAATTATTAATTGCATCATATCGCTGGATCCATCTTGTTACACATAGGCGCTTCAATGTCTTAACTTTTGAATCTAAGTCACTATCACTTATTGCTGTTAAAATCACTTGATGACGCTTTGGGGAATTAAAAAAAACAATACATTTTTTGAATAGTTCCTAAGCAATTTCGTACAGGTTGAATGTTGCAAGCAGATGACACAGTTAAATTCAACGTATGTGCAACACAATGCACATATAAAGCTTTTGGGTACTTATTTCTTATTATTGTTTGAACGCCTTTTATGTGCCTTGACATATTTGATGCACCATCATACTCATGTCCACAAATATTGTCACAATTAATACCATATGAATTCAAGCCTTAAACAAAGTTAATACACAATTTAATAAATAACTGATACCCAAGCGATATGATTTGTAAAATCATGTCTATTTTTATGTAACATATTAATTACCATTTAAAATTGCTGCAGCTAAGTTATCACCCGTTAAACTTGTAACTTCTGTAAATTTTAAAAAACTTTCATAAACATTTTTTTTTCTTTCCCAGTACCAACAAGATATCTAACACAAATAGTAAGTAGTTCTACAACAGAAATACCTATTGTCTCATCTGCAAGAACACTAAAATAATGTGACTCGTTAACTTTCACAACTTTTTTTAAAATAATATCACCACAAGTGCTTATAATTTCATTTTGAATAGTTGGGCTAATATATTTATTTCGATAGCTTGATGAAAGAAAGTTTTTTAAATGTTCTATGTCTTTTGCTTTATATTTCAGTATAGCTCAAAAATTCCATTCATTCATTTCAGGTTCACCTAGGAAAATAATGACAAAGAAAGGCCTAATAAGTTTAGGTTTAGGTTATAGCTCTTATTAAAAAATAATTATTCCTTAACTAAAATAAAATTGTATCCAAAATATATAGTAGATAAAAAATATTAGAGCTAATAGTATTATAGTATTTTAATATAATTTAAAAAAAACTTACCATCAAATGACAAAGCATTAAAGTCCCTATGACCCCTTAAAGCAATCTCTTGACGGCTACATACCAAAATACAATCATTAATAGGAATTAAATTCTCTCGGTTTTCTTTAACTTTTTTCGCTCTGAAATTATACAAATTTAGGTTCATTTATCAATAATATTTTAAAATTAAACATAAACTAAATTTGTAATAAAAAAATAATACAACTTTATAATAAAAATAGAATATTAAAAAATATTTAAATCTACCTGTCTATGTTTAATTTGTTTATAATCTCAAGTTCCTTTGAAGATGCAATATTCAAAAAATAATCAGCTTTTTCTAGAGCTAGTTTATGATATTGATATTTAGCATGGTTATTTAAAGTCTAATATAATAAATAAAACATACATATTAAATATTTATAATAATATTAAAAAATTTAAAATGTGTGATCATAACTTTATAGACATACTTCTAATGCTTTTATAAAGTTATCCATTGGTTTAATCACAAGTATATATAATTTTTGACATCCAAATCCACCAGTTCTTGAAAAAATTAAACATACTTGACGCGGACCCGCGTAGCAGCCGTTATCGAAACGTCTGCCGCCGACCGCGCTTGTGTCTCTCTCGTCAACCACCAGACCGCGGCACGCAACGCCGCCGCGACACCCGTCCTCCCCCATCCATCGATGGACAGGGGACGCGAACGGTCGCGACGACGCCCGCACGGAATACGACCCAACCGGTCCGGTCGGGTTGTTCTTCGAATACCGTACACCCGAACGGACCGGACGCGTGATCTTTTTTTGTTCTCTCGCTTTGTTATTTTGCCCATATTGTTTTCTCTTGTTTTGACATCGTGTCTAAACCGACACGTCCAGTGTCATCGTGTTTTCTCGCGCCGTCAACAATTCGCAAGTTCTTTCGTGCTTGTGCGAGCAATAAACGGCCGTCGGCCAGTACCATTTACATTGCTGTGTTTTTTTTTTCTCCTTCATTTTGCTCATTTCTGTGACCTTACATCTGCACCTCAACTATTACGTCGGACCGTACAGAGACGGCCCCCCGACATACTTTACAAAAACCTCCCTGGCTTATCTCTGAATATGCTAACCACTTGAACATTTTCAACCAATGGTGTTGAAATTTGAAATTCCTACCTTTATTTTTCTCTATTATAGGAAATATATAAGTTTCTGATGCAACCCACACATCTGTCAGAATCTATAAACAAATGTACTTTATAATTTTGTAAATTTAAAAAAATGATTCATTTAAATATCAAGTACAACAATATTATTTGTATATAATTAAAAAACTTACTAGGTTTTTATCAGGTTAGGTTAGTTTAGCAATGGGTTAGGTCTCTATAAATTATAAGATAAGCTATATTAAAGTATAATCATAGTCATCATTGGCATTTCGACCAAAATACCAAATAAACATTACTTTGCTATAAATAAACGAAAATAAATTTATAATGGTTTTTAGTGTTGACTAAATTGTCAAAATTCAATAGCTCGATAGATTCACATCACAAAATATATTTTTATAGTGCATACTATATAATATAAGGAAAAACAAAAAATAATTAAATAATAAAAAGCGAATGGGGGGGGGGGTTGACCCCCCACGCCGCCTCTTGTAAACGCCACTGCCGTACATAAAAATGTAAAAATAAACATAATTATGCTAACCGCTACTACGACTGACAATGAATTTTGAAGATTAAAATCCATAAATGATATTAATACTAAATTGAAGTGTTTGCGCCAGTCTTCATGCCTCATGGCTTCTAATTTCTATAGTAGGTATCTACCCGGTGTGCAATAGTGTGACTTCCACTACAATGTGATATTCTGTTTAGATCTCAAATGTGACCTCCCTGTTTTATATCCATTAACCATCTCATGAGCTTCATTAAAAACTTATCGCAAAAAAGACTTCCATACGTAGGCACATTTAGATTGAACATGTAATGTAAATTATTGATCTGTATGCGAAGTACTATTTGGGTTCCAAAATTGACTGCACGTTTCAATTTCTATGTGTCATCGCATGAAGTTCGGGATAATCTAGTTATATAAGGACCTACATGCGTAGTTCAGTTTGTAATGAGTAATAACCATATTAAGCAAAAAATAAAAGACCAAAATATATGTATATAATGTTTTCTTACGGTCAATTATTTATTATTTATTATTTATTAACGAAACATAATTTGAAATACCAAAATTTTTTTTTTTGCCGGACCCCTTAGGGATAATAAAAATGATCGCGGACCCCTTAGTACAAATGAAAATTAAAAAACAATAATATATAATAATACATTGTAAATTTTAAATTTACTTTCGTAGACCCCCTCCGGTATACGAGCGGAGCCCTATGGGTCCACGGACCACAGTTTGGAAAACGCTGTTATAGACTATAGTAATAACTATAATGATACAAACGGAACCTGTCGTGCCTCTAGTGATTATTGGACCATGGATTTTTGTTGAATTAGTAAATCTATATAAATTATCTACAAAATAAGATTATATTTAACATTTTCATTATACCTATAATGACCAAAATAGTATGATGAACAAAGTAAATCGAAAAAGGCGCATTTATTGGTGTGTTGTGTACGTTGCGTCTGTATAATAATAAATTATAAGAATTATCACGAAGGGTTTTACCCACATCATATCAAGTTGTATAAAGGTACGTACAGATCAAGCAACATTTTGTTGGCAACATGTTGCCAACAGTGTTGTCAACATGTATCTCAGCAACTGGTTAAAAGTTGACGGATACATGTCAATGTTGGGCGGCATGACATCAAAGAAATTTGTTGCGTGTTGCTTGTATCTGAGTTTTCCAATCGAAATGGAAAACATTGCTCAGTATGGACGATGTTGTCAACAAGTACTGTAATTTTACAATGATTTTACATTGATTTGTACACACGTTCACGTATCGTTTAGTTAGTTTAGTTGTACTTTTAATTGTTTGTACTTTAATTTTTTGCATTATGTTGTGGTCAAAAGAGCTCGTAGTAGAACTCATTGAAATGCTGAAAGCTGCCCCTGCTTTGTGGGACATACAATCCAAAGAATATCGGGATATGGTGCAGTCCACCCCCAACTGTACAGCAGAGCGAGGCCCATCCGGGTTTTTTACCTTATAGTATTAAATTTTAAAATTAATTAGACAATTAAATAAGATTATCAATATAATAAAAAAACTATATTTGATTAAATTGACAATGTAATAAGAAACTATTAAATACAATAATAATCATAGTCCAGAAAATGTATGCGAACATTTCTTGCCACGGTACTTTTCCTTCTTCTGAAATAAAAAATTTGGCGAATTCTTTTCTGATTTCTTTAGCTTCTTGAGAAGCACTTCTTGGGATGCGCTGTAAATCAAGTAAACTTCCCTCAGTTTCTGCTCTCCATGATCCAAGTGTTATTGAACCAGTATCTAAATCTTCACTATCAAATGTGCCAGGTGGTGTGTACATCCGTACTGACTGTGCATTTCGCCTTAAAAAGTTATGTAGAGAAATGCAAGCAAGTACTACACTTTCAACTTTCTTAAGGTGTAATGGAATAGGCTTTCTAAATACTCGGAAAACGGTCGCCAGCAAACCAAACACATTCTCAATAATCCGTCGATCTCTACTTAATCGATAATTAAACGCTCTTTCTTGGGAACATTTTGGATATAGACTTGGGGAGGGTTTCATAAGGTTTGTGTTTAATGAAAATGCATCATCTGCTACCAATACAAAAGGACTAACTTGGCTTTGAATTTTCTCTGATAAGCATGTCGGTTTTGGAAGTTTTAACTCATTGTTTATAAATTTATTATAAAATGTTATGTTTGCAAAAACACCACCGTCAGAAATTCTGCCCTGGCATCCCACATCGGCATAAATAATACGATAGTCAGAATCTGCTATAGCCATCAACACGATACTAAACGTACCATGATAATTATAATATACACTTCCGCTATTCTCTGGTGCTTCTATCTGTACATGTTTTCCATCAAGTGCACCAATGCAATGAGGGGAATTCCATTTTAAGCAAAATCCATTTGCTACTTCACGCCAACCTTCATCCGACCGTGGTATCTGCAAAATTAATAA